ATCCCTCTTTGCAGATGATATGATCCTGTAATTAAAAGACCATAAAGACTCCACTAGAAGACTCTTAGATTTTACACACACTTTCAGCTGAGTAGCAGGTTACACCAATTGGGGGTATAACACATATATGCATGGAAATGTCGCAAGGAAACTCCCTGTGTAGCTATCTTTATGTCAAACTAGCAAAAATGTCATATATTTTTTTCTTTTCTCTTCTGCAAAATTGGAGAACAGGAGGGCAGAACAGGTCCTGCCAAGGAGCGGGGAGGGTTGGCACCAGTGAGTAGGGGGAGGTGGTGGAGAAAGGGGGGTAGGAGGGTGAATACAGTGCAAAAAAGTGTGTATACATGCATGTAAATGCAAAAATGATACCTGCTGAAACTGTTCCATGAATCTGGGGAGGGGGGATAAAGGGGAGCAGTGGAAGGGGTGAATTCAAGTGTGATGTAGTTGACACATTCTAAATGCCACAATGTACCCTCCAACCAGCACAACAATAAAGGGGGGAAAAAAAAGAGTAGCAGTTTACAAAATTAACATAGAAAAACAGTAGCTTTTCTATACACCAACAATGAAGTCACTGAAAAAGAAGTCAAGAAAGTGATCCCAATTACAATAGCCTCAAAAAAATGCAAAATACCTAGGCACAAACAGAACTAAGTTACAGACCTCTATGATGAAAACTATAAAGCACTGAAGACAGAAATTTTAGAAGACACCAGAAGATGGAGAGATTTCCTATGTTCATATATTGGCAAAATAAATATTGTTAAAATAGCTATAGTACCAAAAGTGATATCCAATTCAGTGCAATCTACATCAAAATTCTAATGACATTCTTTACACAAGAAGATATCCACATGTAGAAGACAGAAACTAGACCCCTTTCTCTCACAATATATAAAAATCAACTTGCAATGCATCAAATACCTTAATGTAAAACCAGAAACTTTGAAACTACTAGAGAAAAATGGCAGGGAAATGCTTCAAGATACAGATATAGGCAAGAACTTTCCAAACAGGACTCCAGTAGCTCAAGAAATAATAGCAATAACTGACAAGTAAGATTGTATCAAGTTAAAAAAGCAAGAAACAATCAACAGAGTGAAGAGACAGCCAATAGAAAAAGAGAAAATCTCTGCCAAACATTCATCTGACAGGAAATTCATCTGCCAAACATTCATCTGACAGAATATATAAAGGAAGAACTCAAAAAAGTAAACAGCAAAAGAACAAATATTCCAATTAGCAAATGGGCAAGTGAACTGAACAGGCACTTCTCAAATGAAGAAGTACAAATTGCTAATAGTACATGAAAAACATGTATAATATCCTTAGCCATCAGGGAAATGCAACTCAAAGCTGTAGTAAGATTCCACCTCATGCCAGTCAGGATGGCTGACAATCAAGAAAACTAACAAGTGCTGGTGAGGATGTGAGGAAAAAGGAACTCATATTCACTGCTGGTGGAATCCATTGTGGAAATCAGTATGGAAGTTTCTCAAAAATTAAAAATAGAACACCCATATGATCTAGCCATACCACTTCTGGATATATCATAGAATATGATAGTCATCTGATTAATAGAGCTATCTGTATGCCCTATTTGTTTGTCTATTTATAATAGATAAACTGTGCAATCAGCCTAGGTGCCCATAAGCATATGGATGGATAAAGAAAATGTGGTATATAAATACAAAATGTAGTTTTACTCAGCCACTGAGAAGAATGAGTCATGTCTTTTGCTTGAAGATGGATGGAGCTAGACATCATCATGTCAGGTGAAATATGCCAGTCCCATAAAGATAAATATCACTTTTTTTTTCATTTGTAGAAGTTGGGAAAAATAAAAACAAGCTCATGAAAATAGAGGAGGGGCTACTGGAGAGGTGAAAGGGAAAGAGAAAAGGGGGAGGGGAGCAATGGAGGGGCACATGATCAGAGTACATTGTAAGCACCTATAGAAATCTCATAATGAAAATCCTTACTATGTACAATCAATGTCCACCAATAAAAATCAATTTAAAAAGAAAAAGGGCTGGGGGCATGGCTGAAGTGGTACAAGTTGTAGAGTGCTTGCCTGCCATGTGCAAGGCTCTGGGTTCAATCCCCAGTACTGCAAATCAAACAAAAACAACAACAACAAAACCCTTAGTGATCTGTATCATAGAAATGTGGAGAAGAAGGCTGGTGGAATGGCTCAAGTGGTAGAGCGCCTGCCTAGCAAGCATGAAGCCCTGAGTTCAACCCCCAGAACTGCCAAAAAAAGTGAAATATGAAGGAGAAATTCCCAGAATAGCATAAAGTAATTATCACAGTGCAAGTTTGATGGCATTCTTGGTGGAAATTTAGGCTTGAATATGTATCTTTGGTTTTGTTTTTTGAGGCAGGGTAACTCTGTGTAACCATGTCTGGCCTGGAACTCTTTATCCTCCTGCTTCAGCTTCCAGAGTGCTGGGATTGTAAGTATATACCGCCACATCTGGGTTTGGAACATGTTTTTTGATGCTTTGTGAAATTGTGTATGGGGCTGGAGGAGTGGCTCAATGGTAGAGTGTCTGCCTAGTAAGCATGAAGCCCTGAGTTCAAACCCTAGTACCACCCAAAAAAAAAGAAATTGCCTGTGTCATTAAGTGGACTAAAGGAGTCTACCAATTTGATCTTTTTTTCTGCTTAAGAAGTATATTCTTTTTCTGTCTCTGTCTCTCTCTCAACTCTACCTTTAAAGGAAATTTGAGGATGAGATTGAAGAAAATCTCATTTATTTTGTCAAATATGCTTTCCATTGAACTTCCTAACCAAAAGATTTTTCTTTTAATTCTGAAAATCTTGTATTTTTTTCTCTAAAATTTGGAGTTTTCCCCTTATATTTAGAATTAATTCATTTATTAACTGGGGAATATATTTACCCAACTCAAAATTCATGAGTTATACGAGAATGTTAACTTAATATTTGCCTTCTATTCCCATCTCCCTGCTATAAAGTTCTTTCTCTGGAAAGAACCTGTTTAGATCCTGTCTATCCTTCCAGAGATATTTTATATGAGCAAAGATATATGTATGTGTATATGAGGCTGTGTAAATATATACATGCACATATATATATACATACATGTCATGTATGAGTGTGCTTAAGAATATATGTAAAGAAATATGTATATGTATATATTTTTTTTGAGTGGTTCTGGGGTTTGAACTCTGGGCTTTGTGCCTGCGGCATGTCTACAGATTGAGCCACACCTCCAGTCCTTTTTATTCTGGTTATTTTGGAGATAGGCCTTACTTTTTGCCTGTGCTGGCCTGGACCATGATCCTGCTAGTTGTGCTTTCCTATGTAGCTGAGATGGTAGATGTGTGCCACCATGCCCAGCTTCTTCTGTTGAGATAGGGCTTCTCAAACTTTTTGCCCAGCCTGGCTTTGAATTTAGCTCCTCCTGATCTCAGCCTTCGAGTAGCTAGGATTATAGGTATGAGCAACCACTTCCGGGTTGTAAACATCTTTTAAATTTTTCTTATACAAATGTTAATATATAAAACATACAGTTCTGCCTTTGCTTTTTTTTGTTTTTAGTTAACATTATTGGAAATCTATATCAATATTACTAGAAAAGCTTTCTTATTATGTTTTCCACTTTCATGATATATTGCTGTATAAAAGTATCAAAATGTATTTAATCATTGATTTTTCCCTTTTAATAGAAATTGTGTGTAACTCTTGCATATTAAAACAGTGCTGCAATTTGGTACATGGGTGAGCATGTCTCTAAAAGATAAATTCCTAGATATGTACATGCATTTGCAGTTTTGATGGATATTGCCATTTTTTTCTCACATAAATGATGTGTTGGCAGTATGTGGGGGTGCCTGTTTTCCCACGTTCATGTCAGCATACCCATTGTGACTGACTGGTTTTGATGTGGCTTCTTGTGTATGTTCCGGACTCCATCCAGGAGATGCCTGTTTTAGAATGGTCATGACTTTCAGACTCTGCTTCTTTCTGCTGGCTCACCAACTGTGGTTGCTGTAGAGCTGATTACAGATCAGTGCGTGCTGTCAGTTCTATTTTGAAGAAACTCAGAGATTCCATTGCAACCACAGACAGATGGTGGTCAATTTCACTCATAATTTGCCTACTTTTATTAGTTTCAACCTTTGACTTTGTTTTTTAATATCACTTTTCTATGTTTGTATGGAAAAATATAAGATAAATTTACTGTATGATCAAAACTTTTGAGGGTATGATTTTAAAACCACAAACATCAGAATTCTTGGTACTTTTGAATTAAAAGTATTCCCCTATGGATAAAGTGGAATGTTAACAAAATCTTATGTATGATTTTGGCAGGATTTTTGATGATCAAAAATCGGGTGAAGGGGCTGGAGGTGTGGCTCAAGTGGTAGAGTGCCTGTCTAGCAGGTTCTAGGGCCTGAGTTCAAACCCCAGTCCCACCTCACCTCCCCCACAAAAATAGGGTGAAAAAATAGCATGTAAAAATACAAACATACACACTCTTTTACTTGGAAACAAATTAATTTAAGAAAATCTAGATGCTCAGGCTTCCAGAACAAAGGAAAGGTCTCCCTCTACTTGAGACACTTGCTCTTTAATGCCCCTTAGTTCCCCTGTAACAATAAAACACTAAATTTCAGTCATTTGCTTCACAGGAGAATTTCCTTTCACTCAGGCATTCATTTAAAGCAACAAACTTGTGGAAAAATTGAAGTTGTAGGTTTTGCTTATTTATACACAAGCCAGAACCTTTTAAAAAAAAACCAAAATTAACCACCCCCCCAAATCTTTGATTAAAGTGACTGTGCTAGGACTGTGTGCCATGTTTAGCCTCCTGTAGGAAACACACTTACCTTGGTGGGGACTTTCTGGAACTGACCTAGCATAGCTGTAGAGATAGTATTTCTAATTGCTACTCAGGTCTGTGGCCTGGATCTGGAGGTGAAGGAAAATGCAAAGGTAAGGGATGACATTAAGTGTGTCCTTTCAGGCACTCCTGGACAAGAAGAATAAAGTTCTGGAAGCAAAGAAACCTCTGCGCTTCCTTCAAAGGAAACCCATCCCTCAGCCTCGGCTTCCAACTCCAACCTTGGAAATGAGTTCCTATGTAAGTTCAAAATGTGCAATTCAGTATTGCCGTCAATTCATTCTTAGCATAGTTCGGGTTGAAAAAAAAGAATCTAATTGAACGGTGGTAATTTCTTAAGTTTCTTTGGGTTTGTCTTTAGTTTCACATATCAAACACACACAAAAAATAAAGTAAAATGTAAACCCAATCATTTTCAATAATAAAAACATCAAGAATGAAAACTCTTTCCATAAAAAATAGGCATTGGATGGTATCCTTCAGGTGTGCCAAATACTAAAAGAATTCTGACTGATAACCAGTCACCTTACTGTGCCTCTTCCCATATGAGGAGGAGTCAGAGAGGAACAAAAATGCCAGAGGTGGTATCCAGACAGGCTGTCTTCTGGGTGAGGAATGGCTCAGGGGTCACTCTGACCACTCCTCACCAGACTCAGCCTGGGCAAGGCACCAAAGTTGGTTGGAATTTAGAGGATGGACTCAGGCTAAAAAAACCCACAGGAGCTGCTGGGGCACCACAATAGATAGTTACTGTTCCTGCTGTGCTATGGAGAGAGCAAGGGCTGCCTGGTGGGAGGCCCAATACCCAATGTCTGCCATGTCTTCCAGGGGACGGCAGTCCCCACAGGAAATCAAGCCACATTCAGAAGAGTGGTGTGTGTCATCAGGTCACCTCTCCTTGGGATGTCCCTCAATGGGATGAACCACCCCCTGGCCAAGAGGTGCACCTTCTCCAGCCTCTGTGCAGGTCTCTGGTTTCCTGTTGTCTTTCATGGGTTTAATGCCACCATTGAATGGTTGCCTTCTTTTACCATAGAGGCACCCTAATTAGATTTCCACACCCTGTTCTCCTGCCTTTCAGTTATTTAAGATGATTTTTGAAGATGGTTAATTTTTCCGAGTGTATTATGATTTTAGCAGTTTAGCTAAATTCTTGTGAGAAGCACCTCACTCTAACATGGACTAGCTGTATTCTTTGTTACTCATGCTCAAACATGAACACACTCTTGCTGAAAGGATATTGTAAGCTACACTTGTTGCTTCCAGAAAGTTTTTGCTGGAAATGGCATCATTTGTAGGGACAGTATGACAGTCCTGTCATTAGTATGAATTAGTAATGATTACGAGTTTCAATGTAAACTTAAATGCCATTTAAAATACCGCATGTTCCATGAGGGCAAGAGGCCATGATTTATTTCCATTCAAATCCTTTTGGCATCTAGCAGAGTTTCTTGCTTGAAATCAGTCTTCAAAAATAATTGGAGCTTGGACTGCTGCTCTTCTCAAGCTGCTCGGTTCTCCCTTTTCCTTTTAGGAAGAAGAAGAGATAGAAATGGCTGTGATCTGCCTGCAACAGCTGCTTCGAGGCAGAGTCGTTCAGAATATGGTGCGTAGGCCTGGCCACTGGTGTTTTACGTGTGAGAAGCACCTTTATAGGATGCACACGTGCTTGGATCCAGGGTGAATTCCCTCTTACACCTTGCGGGCCTATTTCAGCTATACTCTTGAGTTACCTTCCCATCCTTCCAGTACCTGCTTTGTCCAGGTGGGCAGCACCTTGTCAAGGAGGGAGAGAGGAACCACCTGCCTACTGCACTCTCTTTTCTCTTCTTTCAGTATTCCCCAGGATAAAAGTGCAACCCCCAGGTTCTTAGGAAAGGATCACAGGAAGTTGAGGAGAAGGTTGTAGTTTCTTAATATAACCTTATAGTTGTCAGCTTGTCTCTGAGAGACATTTTCAGAAACTGAACTAATAGCTCACTGAAAACTGTGCTGTTTCTTTGCCTGTGCTCCTGAAGGTGCAGAAAACTCTATGAGAAACACATCTGTTCTGTGAGTCCCAAAGGCAGGACAGAACCTGCTGTTCCCAGGGGTCTACAGGTTGCTGCAGGCCACTCCTAGCGCCAGCACGGAAGGATGGTAATGACCAGTCTCTGATTTGATTTGGTTCAGATGTTTGAAGGGAAAGAAAAGCGGTTGGAGTTGATCCAGGAGTTGCGTACCAGCCACGCCCTCCAAGAAGACGATAAGCTGATGAAAAAAGCCGAAAAGCAAATGACCCTGGCCTTACAGCGGCAGAGGAACTTGCACGAGCATAAGGTTCTTCCTCTTCTGTCTTCTTACATTTTCCCTCTTGTTTTCTTATTGCACAAACAAGGTTAAAATAACAATAGATGAAATGAGAAGAAATAGGACATTCCCCTCCACCCCAGTGCTCTGAGAGCATTCTTTGTTTTTCATTTTTATTATCATATTATTGTTGCACTGGAGGTACATTATGACATTTACAAAAGAGCTTACAATATATCTTAGTCAAATTAACCCTCCCATCATTCTCCTTTATCCTCCTCCCCCATTCTTAGAATAGTTTCGACAGGTCTCATTTTTCTGTTTTCATACATAAGTACGTAATATTTCTACCACATTCACCCTTCTTCACTTCTTCCCTATGTCCTCCCTCTGTCAATATTCTTAGCAATGGTATTCTTCTCTTTATTTGCAACAAACAAACAAGAAATGCAACTGCTTTTTTTCCAGCCATAAGATTTTTCCCTTTCAATTAAAAAAATACTCGGTGACTCTACTGTATTTCAGTTAGTGAGGAGTTAGCAGAATGAATAAGTCATAAAAGCAAAATGAAAAAAGTGAAAAATGAGATTTGTTTTAAAATATTAGCACTCATTTCTGAATTTTGGAGCCTTATGTAGATCTTGCTGGGTGAACTCCAAGTACATGGTGACCACCTGCTCTCTGCTCCCTGACACAGCTGAGACTGCAGCGCTAAGCTAACAATGCAGTGTTTTTTCTGGCTTCTTCCAGCATCCATCTATACATGCAAGCTACAGCATAGTATAGGTATACGTCTCCCTTTCCCATTTATCTGTTAGTCAATCTGAAAAAGAATCGGTTTGCAGAGTTTAGTGTTCAGAAAGTCATACTTTCAGCCAAGTTGATTCTATCCACTGGAATAACATGCATAACCCCTGTGCTATGTGGAAATTGAGCACAAACAGTAAGCAGTTCAGAAATGACCTCTGCTGTACTTCTTTTACATGACAATGGTACCATAGCTGGTCACTTGGGGGAGCAGCTGGGAGGGTTGAGGCAAGGAGAAAGTAAGAAAGTCACAATCTGTGACACCTGAAAAAGGGACCAGAGAAAGGTGAGACGAATGTGGACACTAGAGTGTCAGAATCTGGAGGTCCTGCCGTCCCTGAGCTGTTCAAATAGGGGGCAGATGACATGAAAACAGCAGGTCCTGGCACTCTGGCTGGAAAAATGCCCTCCTTGGCCCCATAAGTTCCTGACAATGAACTTTAACAGATGCAGCAAAGCCAATTGGGCTTTTCAACCCATTTATCCCATGTAGTGGATCACATGACTGATCATGGCAGTTAAGAGTGAAAGGAGGAATTAATGGGAAAGTCTGTCACTCAACCAAGGACCACTTACCTTCAGCTGTAACTGAGGTACACCAGTGACATGCAGGAGTCTGAGGAGGGGCTTCTCACGTACACCTACAGCAATGCTGATCCCTCTTCTTTTCTTCTCTCATTTCTGTGGAAAACTATTCAGAGAATACACAATTCCCAGTTATGTGATACATTTTATGGTTGGATTGCAGCAGGATCACCTTCCTAAATATTTCAGGTTAGATTGTTCTACCTGAGCATACCCAAGTTTCTTAGTGAGGAAGGAGGCTAAACATGAACAGGTAGCCTTCTTAGGATCTTAAGGGTTGCATCTGCCCCCAGGTGAGGGAGTGATGCTCTCTGCAGACAGGGAGAGAATCCATTTGTGATCTCTGTGCTGAAGGTCCGCTGTTTATACCTGAAGGAGTTGTGAGATGCTATACTTTCATACTCACTTTCCGCCTATTTCATAAGTAAAGTTGAGCTTTGTGGTTAGAAGGCATGTTGAGTGAGAAGGTGCGCGAGGATGAGGGTGAGGGTCCTGGACTAACAACCACATTTGACTGATGATCTCACCCTGTGGCCACCCTGCCTTTGAGACCTGTGAGTATTCCTTCCCTTGAGATATGACTGGAAAGGGGATCTGAGGAGAGGGAGAATGGTCAGTGTTAAAGCAGCATATGGCAAGAAGAAGAGCCCTTTTCCTTTCCCTTCTCTTCAAGGACAGGAGAGGGCATGGGATTAAATTGCACAGGATAAATAACCTTATGAGCTTTTCTCTCCCATATGTCAAAGCCAGTACCCAAGGATGCATACTTTGTCCTCCTCCTGGCTGAAAGCTCCCTTATTTTACCTCAGTGATCACATGGACACTTAGCTTTTTCCCACACTGTTACAAAGATAGTTGCTAATGGCTTTGAATTATTAAAAGACTAAAAGTACCAAAGCTTTCTATTTGCATGTTTTTCAAGATTTTAAATTTCCTCGAACTTAATTTTTTTAATTAAAAGGCACCAGTGAATGAATTTTTAGGAGGTTCTATTTCATTAAGCTCTAATATTGTCTTTAGTAAGAATCTTGACATTTTCTTTCATGTCTGGGAAGACACAACTTGACCTTCTAGATAAAATTGAAAGAAAAAAATACATCCCAGTGGCTGTTAACAGAAATGTTTTACTAAATCCTGTTTGCAAGTTGAGGGCTGCTATTTGCCAGGAACTGACTGAGCAGACTACTTTCTCTTGTCTATATTTGTGAGAAGTTTTCCTAGTGAAGAACCTTTGGGATGGGGGCCAATGGAGATGTAGCATTCCTAGTAAAAACGAACTGCAGTTAGACAGCAGATCGACTGTCAAGAGTTCTGAGTAATCCAGCACTCTTAATAATTAAATCGCCATTTGTAGTGGAATTTGTATCCTTAAAAGCGTTTCTTTATTTTTGAGGTGTCACTGATTGAGAACCATTTGGCTGGCCTGGAGGGAAAGGCTCTGGCAGACATGTTAGACTTCCTGTCGAAAGAGCTGGTGAGACTGCAGGAGGAGAGGAGGATCCATGCCTTTGCCATGTTGGCTGAGCGCCAGCGGCGGATGCGAGAGGCAGAAGAGAGTGGTCGGCGTCAGGTGGAACAGAGGCGCCTGCGGGAGGAGGACCAGATATTTAAGGAGGTAAGTGGGGACGGCTGGGTGAATGGAAGCCCCCTGGAAGGAGCCATGTTAAGCCAAAGGAATCTCTTGACATGAAATGGCATTGGATTTTGCTTTTTCACTTTATTCAGCAAATATGCATTGGGTTCCTACTCCAGGTCCGGCTCTGTGGAAAGGCACTGCGGGATACTCTGTAGGGAAAACCCAGACATGGTCCCTTCTCTCCTAGGGCTTAAGTAGCAGCACTTAAGTATAGAGTTAGAAAATGCTGTAGATTCATGAAGGAAACAAATGGGGCCCGGTGACACAACTTAAAGAGGTTACTCTGCTTGTGTGTGGAGGTTTGGAGGGAGGGCAGAGTGGGAAGGGGGAGACCAGGAAGGAGGCTGTTGTAGTTAAGGCCAGAGTGAGAAAGAGGGAACTGAAGTAGGACGCCAGTGTAGTGCTTATTCATCTGGAAGATGATGCTACTATTTTCTGAGGAAGGTCAGTGGAGTGAGGAATAGGTTTAGTGGCAGGAAAAAAATCCAGAATTCAATTTAAATGTAGTCTGGGACAGCTAAGTGAGTTACCATTTTATTGGGTGAGTATTCAAGATGAAATTTAGAAGAGAGGTTTTGGCTAAAGATATGAGTTTGGGAGTTATGTACCAGGTTGACAAACTAGAATTCTGACCAATCCATTCTGACAGTGGATTTGAAATTCCAACGTGATCAAGATGCAAATTTAGAGGAAATTCTAGGCACCAATAATTTTTTAAAGTTCTCACCCTTTTAGAGAATATGAAGTGTGGACATTGGGAGAGATTTGAGAGGAAGATTTCTTTAAGGGGAACAGTGCCATGACTAGCACTGTCCCCCATACCTAGAGATGTGGGGACAGAGGTGAGGATACTTTTTCTGTCAGGAGAGAGGATCTCCAGTGGGACCAGCTGGAGAGCATACTGTGTATTCGTTCAGATAGAAACAGGGAGGATGGGGAAGCTGAGCTGACCAGCTGCACTAAGGTGAGCAAGAAGAGGCCACATGGCTACCACGTGACTAGAATCTAAAAAGGGAAGGCTATGTGAGCACTTCCTCTGGACCAGATGTGGGCAGAATGGGGCCACCAGCTAGCCTGTAACTTTAAGACAGTACACTACACAAGAGTATTCTGTCTATTTGAAGATACTTTTGAGTTCCTCAAGTAAAAAAAAATATGCCATGTCAGTTTGCAGAGTCTTCTTACTTGGTCTAAGATTTTAATGGTTTACCTAATTCCCCTGGAAGCAGGATTAATCCATGAACACTATTTAGTGTGTGGTTCTTTTTACAAAAAATACTTTTTTTGATTAAAGCTAAATGGATTGCCCTTCCTCTTTACAGTTTGAGATGCTTTGGATTATATGTGTCAACTTCAGCTTTCCAACTTGACTAGATTATCTGCAATGCATAACAGCCTATATGATAATTCTTATTCTGTCTTTTTGCCATCTGAGCATACTTTGCTTCAAAAAGAGTTACTGAGATTCAGAAATTATTGACAAACCAGAGCTAAATACTTAATACCACTAAGGAAAAACCAGCTGGGGATGCAAAGAACCAACTCCATGGGTGAGAATAAAAAGAAAAGAAACAGGAACCACAGTGCTCAAAAACAGGAAGGCAGAAGCTGGTGAAAAGCTTCTTGGGGAAGTGTCTTCTAAATGCTAGAAATGTCAGGATGTCTAGGAAGGACAGGAGTTAAGATAACCTCTCCAGCCTGACTGAAGGACGATTTATGCAGTGAATGCACCCAGCCATGGACCCTCAGTTTCCAATACCAGCCATCATTTTAATTCCTAGTCTATTTAGTTAAAATACAGCTGCTGTTTTCCTTCCTATTTCCTTACCCTCCATCCTTACAGACACTCATATAGATAAATACATCTGCACACAAACCAAAGTCAGAGATAAATATGGTAAATTTCCATAAAAGAAGCACTGAGAAATATTCACAAATATATCCAGTGTGTACAATATCAGTAAAGACATGGAGGAGCACATGTGCACACATATGCACACACACAGAGCTATCAATGCTCCCTTATTTAATCATTCACTTCCAAGCATAAACGTGTCCAGAAGCTTACTCATTTATACAGATGTATGTAAACATACAAGTACATATTTCACTGTGAGTGGAGCACATCAGACTTCCTGCCTCGCTACTGTGTTATGACTCAGCTATCTAATCGCTCCATATATGTACAGGTTGCTTCCTGAACGAGAGGTAGTCTCTGTGACAGCAGGCATGCTGTATGCTTGCTTTGGGCCTTCCACATCAGCATCAGTAGCTGTATATACTAGACATTCAGCAAATATATTTTTGTTGGTTGGTCATTTGATTGACATTGTATTGAGCTATTATTGAGACAGTCTATGGGGAACACATGGGTTTCAGGTTAGTGTTTTATAGTTAGATGTACAGTAAATATCACACATTCATTGTTGTGCTGAGGCACCCATCAAGAAACAGGTCCTGAATTGTTCCTCAGTGCTGGGCATTATCTCAGATCCAAAGAGACATGCAGACATGAACTAGAAAAGCTCCCTACTTTCAAGATGCTCACCATCTGTTGAGGGGACAGAACGCTTAATCATAGCTGATGCTTGTGATGCTTCCTGTGCACACACCTGTCAAACAGCAAAGCTAACCTGTGTTGGTTATGGTTGCATACCATGGGAGCAGAATCATAAAGCATAGGACAGTTCTCTAGGACAGTCATGAACATGGAAAGGGGCTGTGGCCAGGAAGGACTTGGTGGCCTTCTGAGGTCCTGGCAGTTGACCAATGGGTGCTGGCATTACCCTCATACATACTCTGCACATTTATGTGCTCTGCACATTTGAATTCTAAGTTTTACTTCATGATTTCAAGAAATCTTTAAAAAGAAGCAGTCAGGGCTGGTAGCGGGTTCAATAAATGCTTCAGAGATCCAGGTTCCTTCTAATTTTCTGTTCTTTGGCCCTTAAGGTTGGCCCTTATGGTAAATTTAAAGTGACTGCTGGTGTTTCAGCACTCTGTCCCCAGGAAAATAAGAAATCAAAAGAGAAAAAGCTAAGCCTTTCCCTTGAAGAGGTCTTTTTGGAAGTTGCACATATCATTTCTGCATTATTCCCTTGGCCAGAAGTTGGCCAAATGGCTGTGTCCAGCTCCTAGGAGTGCTAGAAAATGTACCCTTTACTCGAAGTACCTGTTTGCCCAGCTAAAATCCCAGGGTTTTGTTAAGACGGAAGAAAGGACATTGGAAAATACCTCCAAGCCTCTGCCACAGTTAGGTAGGTTGGCCAAGTTACACTGTTGATAAGGACAAAGCCAAGATTCAAACTAGGTCATTGATCTGAAGCCAAGGTCTTTGGCAGTGCTTATTGCTTACCCATCACGTAAAATCCATAGTTCCAAATGGGCTCCATGGATGGGACTGCCAAGGATGAGTGTGTAGGTAGGTGGGTGACAAATGGATGGAACTGTTGACTTAATGAAGTGTACTTGTTGAAAGAAGGTCAGCCAATGTTCGTGTTTTTCTTACCTCGCATATAACAGCTGTTAGTAAGTAGGGGTATTTTGGGGTTTCTTTGCAGGTGGTTAAAGTTCACCAGAGTACTGTCACCTCCTATCTGGAAGACCTAATACTGAATACTGAAGAGAATACTGCAGAAGAACAAGCCAGAGCAGAAATTGAGAAGGTGGCTGAGGAAATCAATGACATTGCCTACGAAATGGAAAGCCGGTGAGCCCACCAAGAGAATAGTCAGCCCATTCATCACCATTATTCTTGTAGAAATTTTTAGGAGCTTAAGATGTCACCACTAAGGAGAAATAAATATACAACTCAGGCTTGGGTGTCCACTGTTTTCCTGATGTAACTTGTTAGAAGTCAACATCCCTACACCTCTGTATGGCAGCAGCCTGAGGTCCCTTGCAATGTGGATTACTTTCTTATTACATGCTTTTGGAATACTTGGAATCGTGAAAACAGTGTGGAAATGTGTGTGTGCATCATTGCTTGGACTTGATCCCAAAGTTTTTGGCTTCCATGTGTAAGCTGAATTTTTAACATTCCCTTCCTCGTAGTCTGGTAAATGAAGGATAAGGACAAATCCTAATTTTCCATGGAGTAAACAAGCTTACCAGGAATGTGCCATGTCAGATCATTCAGTCAAGGAAAAGGTGATGGAAGGATTTGGGCAGTGGAGTTGCTAGGTGTAAATCAACAGCTCAAGCAAAGAAACATAGGAAATAATTTTTATTTATTTATTATTATTACTATTTTTTAGTCGAACATATCTTCAATCAGAGGAGATTGTTGCCGAGTTGGTTTATAGTTTTCTGATTCCAGAAGTGCAAAAAGACTCTGTCAAAGAAAAAGGTAAGCTTTACTTTGGGATTCCAGAGGAGAAGCACTGAGCTGCCTGTTTTGGAATGTGTCTGTTCTTGTCCTGCTGTCTGACTGCAGCTTCTCTTTGCCTCTCAGAGGTGGGATGCAGTTCCTATAAGCTTCTCAAATAGCAAGCCCCAACTTCCTTTAAAAGGAAGTCCCCAAGTTTCTAGAAGACGTGTATCTGATTGACACTGCAGCAGCCTTTTGCAGGCAGGGTATGAGAACTGTGGGTGTGGAAAAGCATGGGTGCCCAAGGATCTAGATCTGTTCTGCTACTCTCCCTGCACCATCAATTCTGAACTTCTGCTGGGACTGCAACTAAGTATAAGTATCTCAATTTATCATTTGTCAAAAGTGACATTTTTGAAAAAGATTAATGCTTTTAGTGAATAGAGAAGGAGAGAAAAATGTCTTAAAAAGGAAAAGAAGGTTCTCCCTGAGTTCTGAAACTATGGGTGCCAGGCCTGATCCCAGAGTGGGGTGACATCAGGACAAGGCCAATATTCAGGTGAGCAGTGCAGAAGCTTCCAGGATGACACAAGGAACTTCAGGGCAAGTTTAAACAGAAAAGTGTGGGATGTTTACAGGATTGAGGGTAAGGGGATGGTGGAGTTCTAACACACTAGGACAAAGGGTTTCTGTATTTTCCCAATTATGTGACAGTTGTGTGATTTTTAAACCCACTCCCCATGGCGATAAGCATTTAGTGTGCTTCTGGTGTGTTTTTCTCTAACTACGCCTCTCTGGCCATGCTTCCAAGTGCATATTCCTGGCAGCACAAATGCTGCGAGTAGGGCATATGCATTTTACATTTTGATAGATTTTACCCCATTGCCCCACAAAAGACTGCTTTACTCCCATCAACAGTGTAAATAGTGCCTGTACCACAAAATTAACCTTTAGGTCAAGAAATACATATTTCTCCATCCCCTTACAGCATAGATGGAGTCTTATGTTTTCTAGATCCTTAAGAAAATATCAGCTCCTTTGTACTCCTAGGTCCAAAGTCAGGTCAGCCTGCACCAGATCTGTTCTACTTGTGGGACGTGAAGGAGATGGGGAAACAGTGGGTTTGACATTTACTAGTTAAGATCCCCTTCCCCAAGTCCTTTTGGGTCCCAGGGAGAGATTTGGAGGAGGAACCTGAGTGGAAGAATCCAGTGAGACTGTCTATGGGCAACTTGGGGGGTGGGGATGTTCCTTTATAGCATGCCAAATCAAAAATGCCGTGTGGACAGAGAGGAACTTCTGCTTCTCATTTCAAATAAGTCAACCTTATGATATGTACTCTTTACCTACAATTAAGATGTTGTTATACAGTAAGCCCGCCTTATTCACAGATTTATTACATGTGATTTGGGCCAAGGGTGATCACAAAAGTAAATACTTTTTTTTAAAAATCAAAAGAAATGTCAAAACCAAAAAAATTTAAGTTCCCACATGTGTACCACGCATCTCAGTGGATGGTGAGAAGCTCGTCAGTCCCACGTTTTTGTCAGTTCAGTTGTGTTTAAATTGTCCTGTTGTCTGCTGAGTGTTTCCCTGCCCTTAATTTTGTGAAAATCTGTCTTCCCAAAAGCAAGTGGTACCTAAAAATCAAGGTAAAAGTGAATGTGCTTGATTAAGTGAGAAAGTGAAATTTTAGATTTGTTTAGTGCAAGTTGGGGGCATTATGGGAAAAGCGAGTCAAGCACCCACAGTGCAGCACTGAACTCTGTGCATCCTGAGCCCTGGCTGGTTTTCCTCAACAGGTCTCCTGGGAACCGTATTCCCGTGGGTAGCAAGGGTCTGATGTGTACAGGCCATTTTGAGTTGTCTCACTTTTAAAAATTTGCTGATTCAGAAAGACCTTAAAGAGTCAGTCTATAGGTATAAAATAACAGTAACTGCCAAGTTTTTTTAAATAAAAATTTTTATTAGGATGTATTCATTATAGAGGGGGGAATTCAAAGTGACAGTTCCACTCAGACTTATATTGTACATTATTTACATTTCTCTCATCTTTTCTCCCCAGCCCCATTCCCACCAGTGCCAGCCAAGTCTTAAATGCACACATTTAAAATTCTAAGCAGTTCACTAACCATTTGAAAATGTACATTAGCTCAATTTCTTTTTTTTTTTTTTTGGCTTCACTTGGGTTTGAACTCAGGGCCTCACGCTTGCTAGGCAGGTGCTCTTACCACTGAAGCCACTCTGCCAGCCCCTTCTTTGTAATTTTTTTTTAAAGATAAGGTCTCTATTTGCTGTGAGAGGGGCAGCTTCAAAGCTCTATCCTCCTGACCTCTGCCTCCCAAGTAGCTAGGATTACAGGTGTGAGCCACTAGCACCAGGCTCTCAGTTTCTTACAACAGCTGCAGGTGCATTCTCCCTTTTCAGCTAAGGAATTAGTGCTTGCAAATATGCTTGCAGAATTGAGGCATGACCTATGTGGCTCCAAATCCCCTGCATTTTCAACCACACTGCTGTAAAGTGCAGTGAGCTATGTGAATTACCCTATGTAAAGTAGCCAGTACCAGAATAGCAAAGAATCTGTAGTACATTTTTTTTGAGACAGGGTTTCACTGTGTAAACCAGGTTTACCTCAAATTCACAATCCTCCTGCCTTAGCCTCCTGAGTGCTGGGATGATAGGCCTGTACCACCATGCCCAGTCTAGAGTACTTCTTACTGTCATATTATATATTACTTTGGATAAATTGCCTGACTGCTCTGTGTTTATGTTTATCTTCTGAAAGTGAGGATATTAATAAAATTCTCTTTTAGGATTGTGGGAATTTAATGGATAACTGATGCCACTTGCTTATCAGTGCTTGGCACAGTAGGTCATCATCATCACTCATGCAACACGCTCTTTTCCAAAGGCTTAGGCACTTCCTCAGTCAGTGCTGAAGCTTGACAAGGACACTTAGAATTTGGAACTAGGACCACCTCGTCACCAATCAACAGTGCCCTCGATATTAGAAACTAAGGTCCAAAGAGAAGTGTGAGACAGGAGTTTTGTTAAAACCAATCAGTCATCCACAATCACTGATAACGCAGATTGAGAACAAAATGTAACTCCTGTGAAACACTTCAGTGCTGCGTGGGTTGGCATAAATGTGTACATGATAGGTGGGAAATGTGAGCTGACTGAATTCAAGCAGACTTTCCGGAGGAACTGGACTTTGAAAAAGGGCATGACTCTGAGTACAGGCATTCTAGGTGAGGCAAGCTGCTAAGGGTTGGAGTGAAGGAAAATGCTGGCCTAAATAAAGAGTGGGAGCAGCAAGAAATAGGTGTGTGGCCAGAAGCAGTGGTTCATTCCTATAATACCAGCTACAAGGGAGGCAGAGATTAGGAGGATTTAGGATCAAGGCCAACCCAGGAAAAAACAGCTAGACCCCATCTCAAAAAAATAGGTCAGGTGCAATAATGCACACTTGTAATTCTAGCTTTGCAGGAGGCATAGGAAAGAGGATTGCAGTCCAAAAAGCTTGAGACCCTATCTGAAAAATGATCTAAAAGCAAAAAAGGGCTGGACGCATGTCAAATGGTAGAGCACTGCCTAACAAATGCAAGGCCCTGAGTTCAAAACCCCAGTACTACCCTACCTCTCCACCCCCACAATAAGGTGTGGATTTGGGGTTAGTTAATTTCATTGCCATGACAAAATACCTTACAGAAATAATTTGAAAGGAAAGATTCATTTTGGCTCACAGTTTCAGAGGTTTCAGTTGTAGTCAGCTGGCTCTGTTGTTGCTGGGCTGTGGTGAGGCAGAGTGTCATGGCAGAAGGCCCGGGCAGAGCAAAGTTGCTCACTTCATGTGCCCAGGAAGCAGAAAGAATGAAGGACAAAGGATTGGTAACAGATTCACCCTCCAAAGGTGCGCCCCAGTGATCCACATACCTCAGTCAGCCAGGAACTTATCAATGTACTAACCTATCGATTATATTAGTGCCTTCCTGATCAATCATCTCTTAATAGTGTCATCAGCTGGGGACCATGCTTGCAATACATGTCCTTCTAAATTCTTAATTTTTCCTTAATTCAGTTAGCTCTAAGAAGAATATATGTGGTTTGCAAAATTACCATGTTTGTCACTACCCCTTGAGGACATTTGGGAATGGTTTCATTCAGATTCTCCGAGTAAAACTCTCCTGTCACTCTGGCACAGTGAGGGCTGCACAGCGGAAGCACATCCTGGCGGCCCATGAGATCATCCACCAGCACACAGAAGCCATGGTCTGGCAGAGCGTCACCCAGCAGCTGCAGGAGGAGGGCTCAGTTGCCAAGAATTCACCCACCAGAGAAACTCGAACTGAAGACGACAGGGAAACGCAAGACATGGAAAATGGCTAAGTGAGTGTGATTTCCCATCCCCGAGGAAGCAGAGGAGGAGGAGAGGCAGCATTCTTCAGCTTTGTGCTCTACTCAGCACGATATGGATGATCTGCCCTTGTTTAAGAAAGTGAAGTGCTTCCATCTAAATTAGCTCTGGTCGTCCAGGTCCACACGCCTACGGTTGAAATGATAGCTAGAGGTCGTAAGACAGCAAATGGACTCTTGTGATCTCGAAAACAGGACTCAAGGTTCTTTTTGTGGGTTATCTTATAATATAACTGTACTCCATTGCAAATAAAGTTGTGGAGTGTGTGAACTTAATTTTTTTCTTTTGCTGATACTAGGGTTTGAACTCAGGGCCTCGCTCTTGCTAGGCAAACGCTCTACCACTTGAGCAACTCCTCCTGCCCTTTCTACTTTTAGTTGTTTTTCAGATGAGGTCTCATGTTTTGGCCCAGGTTGGCTTGGACTGTGATCCTCCTACTTATGCCTCCATGTAGCTGAGATTGCAGGAATAAACCACCATACCCAGTCTGTGAGCACTGTCTCCAAAAGGCTTGTTCATCTGGAGGTGGACAGGATAGGCTCTGATGCATTGTGCTCATTGCAAGCATAGCACGAAGTATCGAATCGCCCAGTTCAACTTGAACGTCTCCTGAAATGCACACTGGGGGTTGATGTTAGGCTCGACTAAACATTCATACAAGACTAATATAGGCCACACTTGGCATGAATGTACCCAGCAAGATGTGACAGGAAACACAGCTTCCTGCGGGGTAACAGCAGACACTTCTCTCCCTATGAGAGCTCTCGCATTGCGCACACAGGACACAGAGCAGTTTTCTTTAGCCCTAGGATACAGAACTCAGGCATAAGGAAAAGAGATTCACATTAGATGGTATAGGAGCTGTCTGGCTTCTGAACCTCACACCCCAGGTTCAGAATCTCCTGTAACAGTCCTGTAAATAGAGCTTCCAGGGTCCCCGTGATGGATTTGCCCAGTAACAAAGATCAGCACACTGAGGGATGTTCAGAGCCATCCTTTCCTGTTTGCATTAACAGTGCTGGTAAATCCTCCCTGTCCAGATGCAGTTTACCTGTCTGGGGTCTTTTTTACCGTCAGTAGTTGAGGTCGCTTAGTAATGCAGTTGACACATACCACATTATCTATTGGATTCCTAGAAGAATAGAGGTACAGAGTCAACTGAAAGTAAAACCCTATGAGAAGGGAGCGAACCTTTGCTTCCTTCTCTGGGGGAGACCCATTTGTGCTTTTCTACTGTGCTCACTGTCATGTTGGGGCAAGACTAGACACCTCTGCCAGTAGCTGTCTAGTCTTGTACAAATCACTTCCCTTCACTTGGGGTTTGCCTATGCATGCACTCTCTGCAGAGGATCTGCTGGAATCTTAAGTCCTAACCAAAGTAGGGATCATGAAAGGAAGACTGAAGTAAGGGGGAGGTTAAGAAAGAACCAGAAGCAGGTAATTCACACGCCTGTAATCCTAGCTACTTAGAAGGAAGAGATCAGGAGGATTGTGGTTCGAAGTCATTCCAGGCATATAGTTCACGAGACCCTATCTTAAAAAATACCTAACACAAAAAAGGGCTGCAGAGTAGCTTAAGTGGTAGAGCGCCTGCCTAACAAGTGTGAAGCCCTGAGTTGAACCACTAGTCCTTATACCGCACACACAAAGAAAAAGCCAAGAGAAAACAGGTACATGACTTTGAGATGTCAATTTGTGGCTGTAAATTACAGCGCCAAAAAAAAAAAAAACAAAAAAAAACTTTTGGCTTTAATTAATAACAAAATAACCAAGTTGGGCACAGTCCCAGCTGCCTGGGAGGCTGAGGTGGGAGGATGTCTTAAGCCCAATAATTTGAGACCAGCCTGGGCAACACAATGAAACCCTGTCTCAATAAAAACCTAAACCAAAAAAGTAATGAAATAACCTTAGAAATTATTGAATATATAAACCATGTATCTATATAGAATGCCATCTATTATTTATAAAATACAAATTTAAGGACCAAGGTTTTCTGTTGTTTTTTTTTTAAGCAATTCTGGGGTTTGAACTCAGGGCCTCATGCTTTCGAGGCAGACACTACCACTTGAGCCATTCCATAAGCAGGACCAAGCATTTTGCCTACCTTAGTATTGTGATAAAAGTAAGCCAGAGGATTGGAGTATCTTTTTTTTCTGATATGAAAATTAAATAAGATTAGTAAATTACACAGTTCAAATCTATCTTACACTGTTCCATATGATAGTCATAAAATCTAGTTGCAAAAAAGAATTCTGGTGGCCAGACTAACTGTAGACTCTCAGCAAAGATCAACCAATAAATCACATGGTTGGAACATGAAGCTTAGTTGCGCCCAATTGTATATATTTCTCCCTCTTCCTTGCAGAGGGAAGGAAGGGAAGGCAGTTGTGAGGTTATTTAGTAATGCTAAAGGTGACAGGCAGGAGGCACGGCCACAGAGGTAGATGCATACATGTGGCTTGGAGAGCTAGTGAAATAGCGAGGCGCTCTTCTGGGCCAAAATCTAAGAGGAGACAGAAATTCAGAGAGTTGGGCCTGGTATTTGGAACTACCATTTTGCTGTTTGTTTATTTATTGCAGTGCTGGGGATTGAATCCAGGGCCTTGCACATGCTAGGCAAGTGTTTTGTTTTGTTTTTGATACAGGATCTCACTTGAATTCTCAAACCTCCTGCCTCTGCTTTCCTGTTTGCATGTTTTATGTGTTCAGTGACTTCAAAGGTTATTTTATTTTTGTTTTTGTTTCCTGAGGGACTATGCCAATTCTAGAAAATGTGGCTGAAAGGCTAAGCAGTTCTTTTAAAAGCATAAAGTAAGAATACAAAAACTAGAGTCCAAATTGAGGCCCTGGTGAGCCCCCTTAATTTGGATAGAGACTATAAAAGGCTGTGCCCCAGTAGTAAGGGTTACCCATAAGGAAGAATCACTGCATGCAGTACAGTTTAGCTTATAATCATCCAAAGGATTTTTTAAAATCTCAGTCGCAGAAGTTGAATTAATGAGATGCTTGATTCTTGATTCTGACTGTAACTTGTCAGAAATAAAACCTAAATTTTTTTTTGGAGAAAGTTAACATAATATACAATTTCCAGAACACAAGCAAGGATATCAGGTACCTGAGGAGGCATGACAACTTGAATAAGCAGTAGTAGAAACAATAGATGATAGAAACAGATGGAAAGGGATCTAAAATAGTGGAATTATTGGGCATGGACTTTACGATAGCTGTGTTTACTGCTGTCGACTTCTAGTCTCTGGAATTCCAAAAGGAATAAATCTCTGTGATTTAAGCCATCCAGTCTATAGTATTTTGTTATGGAATCCCCAGATGACTAATACAGACTTTTTTATACCAGAATTGGGTGCTACTATAATAAATACCTAAATATGTGGGACTGGCTTTGGAACTGGGCAATAGGTAGCGACACAAAGAGTGTTGAGATCCATGATAGTAGCACAGACACCAAGGGTATTGCTGTTGAGGTCTCAGATGCGGAAACTGTTGCTGGAAACTGGAGAAAAGGTAACCTTTGACTGAACTGTGTTCTTTTTTTTTTTTCCTTTTATTATTCATATGTGCATACAAGGCTTGGGTCATTTCTCCCCCCTGCCCCCACCCCCTCCCTTACCACCCACTCCACCCCCTCCCTCTCCCCCCCCTCAATACCCAGCAGAAACTATTTTGCCCTTATTCTAATTTTGTTGTAGAGAGAGTATAAGCAATAATAGGAAGGAACAAGGGTTTTTGCTGGTTGAGATAAGGATAGCTATACAGGGCATTGACTCACATTGATTTCCTGTGCGTGGTGTTACCTTCTAGGTTAATTCTTTTTGATCTAACCTTTTCTCTAGTTCCTGGTCCCCTTTTCCTATTGGCCTCAGTTGCTTTAAGGTATCTGCTTTAGTTTCTCTGCGTTAAGGGCAACAAATGCTAGCTAGTTTTTTAGGTGTCTTACCTATCCTCACCCCTCCCTTGTGTGCTCTTTTATCATGTGCTCAAAGTCCAATCCCCTTGTTGTGTTTGCCCTTGATCTAATGTCCACATATGAGGGAGAACATACGATTTTTGGTCTTTTGGGCCAGGCTACCCTCACTCAGAATGATGTTCTCCAATTCCATCCATTTACCAGCGAATGATAACATTTCGTTCTTCTTCATGGCTGCATAAAATTCCATTGTGTATAGATACCACATTTTCTTAATCCATTCGTCAGTGTGGGGCATCTTGGCTGTTTCCATAACTTGGCTATTGTGAATAGCCGCAATAAACATGGGTGTGCAGGTGCCTCTGGAGTAACCTGTGTCACAGTCTTTTGGGTATATCCCCAAGAGTGGTATTGCTGGATCAAATGGTAGATCAATGTTAGCTTTTTAAGTAGCCTCCAAATTTTTTTCCAGAGTGGTTGTACTAGTTACATTCCCACCAACAGTGTAAGAGGGTTCCTTTTTCCCCGCATCCTCGCCAACACCTGTTGTTGGTGGTGTTGCTGATGATGGCTATTCTAACAGGGGTGAGGTGGAATCTTAGTGGTTTTAATTTGCATTTCCTTTATTGCTAGAGATGGTGAGCATTTTTTCATGTGTTTTTTGGCCATTTGAATTTCTTCTTTTGAGAAAGTTCTGTTTAGTTCACTTGCCCATTTCTTTATTGGTTCATTAGTTTTGGGAGAATTTAGTTTTTTAAGTTCCCTATATATTCTGGTTATCAGTCCTTTGTCTGATGTATAGTTGGCAAATATTTTCTCCCACTCTGTGGGTGTTCTCTTCAGTTTAGAGACCATTTCTTTTGATGAACAGAAGCTTTTTAGTTTTATGAGGTCCCATTTATCTATGCTATCTCTTAGTTGCTGTGCTGCTGGGGTTTCATTGAGAAAGTTCTTACCTATACCTACTAACTCCAGAGTATTTCCTACTCTTTCTGTATCAACTTTAGAGTTTGGGTCTGATATTAAGATCCTTGATCCATTTTGAGT